GAAAAAGAAGAGCAGGCTAAGCCAAAAGCTCATATGAGGAAGGAAATTATACAGATCAGAGCAGAAATGAATTTAGTGGAGACTAGAAAAACAATAGAAGGAATCAATGAATCCAAGAGTTGGTTGTTTGAAAGATCAAATACAATCAACAAACACTTGTCCAAGCTTATGAAAAAAAGGAAATAGTCAAATCCGTACAATTAGGAATGAAGTCACAGCAGACCCTGCAGAAATCCAGAAGATCATCTATACTTACTTTGAAAACTTGTATTCTAATGAAGTGGAAAATGGAGAAGAAATGGACAGATATCTAGGTACACATGGATTACCAAAGCTGAATGAATATGATATTAAAAAATCCTAAATAAACCAATATCAACCAATGAAATTGAAGATGTAATTAAAAACCTACCAACAAAGAAACATCCAGGCCCTGACAGATTTACTGCTGAATTGTACAAGAAAGTAAGAGAAGACCTAACAACACTACTTCTCAAATTCTTTAATGCCATTGAAAGGGAAGCAGTACTCTCAAATTCATTCCTGGAAGTAAGCATTACCCTGATACCAAAAGTGGAGAAGGACCCAGCTAGGAAAGAGAAGTACAGGCCAATCTCCCTAATTAACATAGATGCAAAAATCCTCAATAAGATACTGGCAAACAGAATGCAGCAAATTATCAAGAAGATCATACAGCATGACCAAGTGGGATTCATCCCAGGGATGAAGGGATGGTTCAATATATGTAAATCAATGAATGTAATACACCATATTAAGGGAGCCAAGGACAAATATCGTGATCATCTCAATAGATGCGGAAAAAGCTTTTGACAAAGTCGAGCACCCCTTCATGATAAAAACTCCACAGAAAACTGGAATAGATGGTCTTTATCTCAATCTGATAAAAGCCATCTCTGACAAGCCAATAGCCAACGTCATACTAAATGGACAAAAACTGAAATCTTTCTCTCTAAAATCAGGAACAAGACAAGGATGTCCACTGTCTCCACACTTATTCAACATGGTCCTGGAAACTTAAGCCAGACTAATTAGAGAAGAGAAAGAAATAAAAGGAATAACGATAGGAAAGGAAGAAGTTAAATTATCATTATTTTCAGATGACATGATACTGTATATTGAAGACCCCAAATGCTCCACTAAAAAACTATTACATTTAATTACCAAATTCAGGAGCATAGCTGGATACAAAGTCAACACTCAAAAATCAATAGCCTTCTTGTACATGAATAATAAACTCATTGAGAGAGAAATTACGGAAACCACACCTTTCACAATAGCATCCAAAGAAATGAAATACCTAATAACAAAGGATATAAAAGAACTCTACATTGAAAACTATGGTACTCTGAGAAAGGAGTTTAAAGAGGTTATCAGAATTGGAAAGATATCCTTTGCTGTTGGGTAGGAAGAACCAATACAGTGTAAATGGCCATACTTCCAAAACTGTTATACAGATTTAATGCAATTCTGATCAAAATTCCAACAGCATATCTCATAGAATTAGAAAAAAAGACCATCCTAAAATTCATTTGGAACCAGAAGAAACGTGGAATAGCAATGGCAATTCTAGGCAACAAATGCAAGTCAGGGGGCATCACAATCCCTGACTTGAAATTATACTGTAGTGCTACTGTGATAAAAACAGTGTAGTACTGGCAAAAACCAGACCTGAAGATCAGTGGAACAGATTAGAAGATGTAGAAACAGCTCCAGAAATATTCAGCCACCTTATCTTTCACAAAGGTGCCAAACACATTCACTGGAAGAAAGATAGCCTTTTTTTTTTTTTTTTTTTTTTTTTTTGGTTTTTCTCCGGTACCGGGAACCGAACTCACGACCTTGCGCTTGCCAGGCAGGCGCTTTGCCGCTGAGCTAAATCCCCAGCCCCAGATAGCCTCTTTAATTAAAAAAAAAAACTGGCTCTGCACATGCCAAAGATTAAAATTGGACCCATATTTTCACCATGCACTAAACTAAATTTGAAATGGATCAAGGATCTAAACATTAGAACAGAAACATTAAATCTGCTGGAAGATACAATAGGTAAAACTCTTGAAGACCCTGGTGTCAGCAAAGACTTTATGAGTAAAACTCTGATCGCACAGGAACTATCCCAAAGAATCTGGGATCTCATCTTATTAAAAACCTTTTGCACAACAAGAAAAACCAGCGACAGAGTGAAGAGAATACCCACAATGTGGGAAAATATGTTTGCCATCTGTTCCTCAGAAAAGGGATTACTGTTGAGAACATAAAAAGAACTCAAAAAAATTAGACCTCCCAAATTTATTTGTTTTATTTTTCTTCTGGTACCAGGAATCGAACTCATGACCTTGCGCTTGCCAGGCAGGCCCTTTGCTGCTGAGGTAAACCCCCAGCCCCAGACCTCCCAAATTTAAAGACCCAATCCAATAATGCTTATCTGAGATGAAAACATGCTTCTCAGATGAAGAAATACAAACGCAAATAAATATATGAAAAAATGTTCAACATCACTGGCCATTCAAGTGGTGCAATACTGAGATTCCTTCTCACCCCAGAAATAATGGCTGTTATCAAGAAATCAACCAATAACAAATGCTGGAGGGGCTGTGGGGAAAAAGGAATCCTTTTCCATTGTTGGTGGGAGTGTAGGCTGGTGCAACTACTGTGGAGATTCTTCAATAAAGTAGGATTGGAGGTCCCATTTGATGCAGCTATTCCCCTGGTGGGTATTTTCCCAGAAGAACTGAAAACATCATACACAGTGATATACGTGCACCCATGTTTACAGCAGCATGATTTGTAGTAACTAGATCTTGGAAACAACCCAACTGCCCATCAACCAAGGAATGGACAAAAAAGATGCGGTCTTTTCATACAATGGAGTAGTACTCAGCCATAAACAAGGATAAACTGGAGACTTTTATAGGTAAATGGATACAACTTGAGACCATACTCAAAAGTGAAATAAAGCGGATGCACGTGTGTAAACATCATATTTTTTCCCTAGTGTGAGAAGCTGAAAGAGTAAATAAGATCCAAAATGTACAATAGATATTATAAAATAGAAAGAAACTTCCAAAGGAAAGAGAAACTGGGATGGAGGAATGGAGAAAAGAGTAAAGGGAAGAGAAAAAATATATAAACAAGATAGTTATACTACTAATTTCTCTTAGTTCATTGAAAAGAAAGTTTTGTGCTAATATTAAATGCTGATATCTTGTACTCTGAGTAACTAATTTAAAGATAACAGTTAATACAGATTGTATTAACCATTGTTACCCTCCTATTATCTTCTTTTCAAATTTTGTTTTATTTTTTTCTCTTTAACTTTACAAAAAAATTTTCTAAGATTTAGTGCAAGAAGCGTACCAGGGAAGGCAATATACGCACTACAGTGTGATAAGCACTATAAAGGTAGAAGACTTGTGCCGAGAATGTACCGTGATTCTTGGGGAAGGATGGGTGGTCAGGAAGCTTTTACACCAGTGATGATGGCAATGATGACATGACAGCAATTGTTTTTGTCGTTGCCAGGCATATATAGCTTGGGCTATTTTACTCAATCTTTATCATAAGAACCTTTTTTTTTCTTTTTGTGGTACTGCGTATTGGACATCAAGGGAGAAGGCAGACGTGTTGCTAAGTCTCAGTAAGAGGGAGATGGGTGATGCTTTATGTAGCCTTGATCTTCAAACTGAAAGATCTTGGAGGAGGAATTGGAAGAAGTAGGGGCAGTTTATTAATGGGGTACATTAGTGATTTTAATTTGGAGATAAGAAGAACTTAGCCAAGTCAGGAAACTTATTCAAGCACTCAAAAGATGGTGTGGTTAATGTGTCCTTGCGAGAAACATTTGTTTCTTGGCATTGTTCCTGGCCCTGTATATATATATCAGTCTGATTATTAGCAGGCTGATTTTTAGTTTCTCAATTTCTCACTGCACCAGTTTAATTCCTCATCACCTTGCTCCTAGATTACTATGATACTGTACTGTTTTATCTTTTAAACCTTTATGTTGCAATACACAGTAATTTACCTAAAATACAAATACCACAACAGGCAACTACTTAAAAGCTTTGACTAGTTGCCCACTGCATATAAAACACAATTGAAGCATTTTAGCATCGCACGCCAGGCCCTCAGATATAATCAAGCCCCAGTCCACCTCTTCCGTCCCCCACTCCCATTGAATCCAAGGCTTTTGCACTGAGCTACATCCCCAGCCCTTTTGAAATTTTTATTATTTTTATTTTAAGACGGGGTCTTGCTAAGTCACTAAGATGCCCAGGCTGGGCTCAGAGTTGCGACCTTCCTGCTTCATCCTCCCAGAGTGTTGGGATTACAGATGTGCACCACCGTACCCGACCTGTTGTGTCTGTTGATGCTCTTGATTCGCACTTTAAATTAATAAAATTGTCGCTGTTCCCAGCACATTCTAGTTTCAGCTCTCTGTGACTCTACTTATGAGGATTTGCTTGCATTTGTGTTCCTTAACTGTAAACTCCTTGAGAACGGAGTTTTATCTTTGTGTCTGCAGACGTTAAATTACCTTACAGTAGTCCAGAGTAGTGACTGGAAGGGGGTGGAGTCTGACGCTTTACCTGAAGCGCTGATAGGTGGAGCCGCGGAAGGGGGCGGGGCCTGAGTAAATCACGAGGGCTGCCAGGCGAGCAGTTGTAGGTGGAAAGAAGTTTCGTGAATGAATGAGAAAAAGGGGGAGAGGTTTAGCTTTGACCTCCAGACCGCCAAACGCTATGGTGTGGGGTGGGAAAAGATGGTGCTAAAGCACCGAGGAAGCGCCGAAGAGGAAAAGATTACTTTCAGGGTGATGTCAGAGCTCCAGAGGAGTTTTCAGGAAGGAGACATTTATTTTCTTTCATTTATCTTTAGGAAACATTTGTTTGCCAGGGTTTTACCAGACTACTATTAGCTGGGTACCTCCCCGCCTTTGGTGTTAGGTCCCGTCCAGACTGAAGCCGCGCCCACCTGCGCCTGCGCCTTGCGGTTCTTAGCCCCGCCCCTTCCTGTCGGACGGGGGCGGGGCAGCGCCAGCAAGATGGCGGCGCCGGCGCTGCTGGTGTTTCCCGAGAAACCCAGGTATGGTCCGCTAGAGGAGATGAAGCGGCAAGAAAGGGGGACGGAATAGGCCGGGCCTGGGCAAGCAGGATGAGCAGGCAGGGAGGAAAGGGGAGCTGGGCCATCGGAGCGAGCCACCGTCGCCCCAGCCGCAAACGTTTGCGAGGTGTGCGTCTCCCTGTCACGGGCGTCGGTGGGCTCCGGGAGGCGAGGAGGGGCCAGGTGGCGGGTCGAAGACCTGCTCCCTGATGTGGAAGGGTGACATGACGGCAGTGGCATGTTCTGTAGTTAAAACTCGGGACGCAGGGTTTCTGTGTAGCGCGCCCGGGCGTTTTCCTGTCAGCGGGCGCGCAGGAGAAGCGAGCAGCGCTGCAGGTGCGGCCGCTGATGCTGTCATGTTTGTGATTTTTCGATTTGCCAGCCACAAGAAGTACAGGGCCGCGCTCAAGAAGGAGAAACGGAAGAAACGCCGGCAGGAACTCGCTCGACTGAGAGACTCAGGTAGTAGACTCTTGTCCTTTTCTGGGTGTGGAATCGCTCCCGTTCCTCCCGCCCAAACGTGAGGGAGGAACGGGAGCGATTCCACAAGAAATAACACTAATTTGAGTCAGGTCATTTTGTTGCACTCACGTGTTTATGCATCTTTCTGTCTCTTTTTTTTTGTCTTTTTGAGACAGGGTCTCGCTATACAGTTCAGGCTGGATTTGAGCTCACTTTGTAGCCCAGGCTGGCCTCGAACTCGCAAGGATCCTCCTGCCTCAGCCTCAGTGCTGGGATTACAGGCGTGCACCACCATGTCCGGCATTTTTCTTTGTAAAACCAGCAGAAATGGAGGGTTTTAAACTGACATTTTGGAAGTTTTCCTCAAATTTTAGTAATAAAATGACTTGACTCAAATTAGTGTTATTTTAGTACACCTAAGCATAAAACTAGATATAAAACTCTTATTTAACTATTGAACAATACATGTACAAATTATAAAACGAAATGAAATTATACCCCCAGTAGAATTGAAGTTTATGTTAATGTAATGCTAAGGATGATGTGAAGGAGATGCTTTTCACAATACGAATAAGATGCCGGTAGGAGTTTGGAATGCTTCTAGTACTGTTGTCCTATGGTGGTTTACCATTTTTTCTCCATTAAACTACTATTCTCCACTATACTACTATAAACTACTACTATTTTTCTCAATTAGCCTACTGCTTTCATTTCTGTAGCTGGCTATGATGTCGTTTGGCCTTCACATGGCAGAACCTAACATTTATATCTTACACCTACCTATTTAATACAATAGAATTAGGATTTATAAATGTGGATGGGAGCGGCTGGACGTGGTGGCACACGCCTGTAATCCCAGTACCCAGGAGGCTGAGGCAGGAGGATCTCTGTGAGTGAGACCAACCTAGGGTACAAAGTGAGCTCAAGGCCAGTCTGAACTGCATAGCAAGACCCTGTCTCAAAAAAGACAAATAAAAAAAAAAAAAGTAGATGGGAGCACTAAAATCACACAAAAGTACTGGGTTCTGATAGTTGCCAGCCATATTATCCTGACTATGACTATTAAATTATCCTAGACAGTTTTTGAACTCGTGAGACCATGGCCTCAAGTAAGCAGGATTCTTGAGCCTTGAGAGACAAACCTTCAAAGGCTTCATTTATCATTGGCATTCCCAAGTAACTGTTTTAGGATTAGCACTTGGAATAGATAATATGGAAAAAACAGTGGCTGTGTTTACCTGTAACCTGTATTAGCATATTTGCTTTAGTTGTTGAAAAGTGGTCTACTAGAGGCAGGACATAGCGTCAGGGATAAAAGGAAAAACAAGGGTAGGGCAGAGTTATTGATGGCCTTATTCCTTTTTTTCTTTCCTTCTCTTAAACCTTGTAACCTCGAGCGTTTGTATTGTACTGATTTTGTGTTTGTTTGACTTTGGAAGGTGCATTCAGAGTGAGCTTTCATGGACAGTCAGGTGGATCATATCCCTTGGCAGTTTAGTCCACTGAAGGATCTAGACACTGGTTCTGCCCAAGATTATATTGCTAGTGGCAGATCTAAGACTCAGCATCTGTCTAGTTTTGCCCACTCCAACTCATAATCCTGTTTAGTGGTTTTTCATGAATAGTGTGGACTGTGGAACACTGCTCGTCGTTGTAGCAAACATCAGATGGGCAAACATTACCCAGAAGGCTGGACCATCAAGAGCATTGTTGCAAGAGTGTACTGGCAAGTGACTGATAGAAATTTCTGAAATAGTGACCTCTCAGTAGCCTTTTTAGCACCTGCTTGAGTTAACCCGAAATAAACTGCCTTGTTGGAAATTAAGGTAATATTAAGTGTAAATTGCAAGTTACCAGATTGTCGCCCGATTTTATGTGTAATACAATTTGATATATCGTTTGTTCTCTATTTTTTGACAGTACTGGGGAATGAACCCAGGGTCTTTGCTCTGAGCTACATCTCCATTCCCTTTTCATTTTTTATTTTGAGACAGGGTCTCATGAAGTCACTAAATTGTCCAGGCTGGGCTTGAACTTGTGATCCTGCTGCCTCAGCTTCCCAGAGTGCTGGGAGTACAGACAGCGTACACCACCTTGCCCAGCTAATATATTTTATTTATATGTATCTTTGCATATATTTTGATTGTGCCTATACAGAAAATGCTACACTCAGAACTGTTAGTGATCACCTCTGTGGTGTGAGTGAGCTTGTTTTAGGGGGAAGGGAGAGTTGAGTGGGTTAGTATCAACTGTATAGAGACCATGTGTCTTGGTTACTTTTCTCTCATTGCTGAGACAAAATACCCAATGCCCAAAATGAAGGAAGGAAAGGTTTATTTCGCTTACAGTATGTGGAGGTTACAGTCCATACTTGCCTGGCTCCGAGGCAGAAGATAACAAAACAACAAGAGCAAAGAGGGGAATGGCAGCCGAACAGCAAAGCAGCCAGAGCAAAGAGGGGAATGGCAGCAAGCAGCCTCTCTCCCTCCCTTACATTGTAAACACCCCCACCTAAGGGGCCTGTAGCTGGCACATAATCTCCATGCCCTCCTCTTGCACAGGCTCAGGATGTATACAAAGTAAGCACCCTGGCTCCCTGCTGAGTCACTTAGCCAAACCGCTAGACTCCCCAGGTTGACAGAGAGTATCAGCCACAACACCATGTTTGGTCTGTGGGCATATCTCTGTATGTTAAGAGTCCTACTTTCTGTGCTATGTTGTCTGACCCCTTATGAACACTAGATCACCTACTCATTGGAATAATTAGATATTATTTTATGTGAGTTAGAATTTAGCCTAAATTTTTGGTATATTTTAATTTCAAGTGCTGAAATAATTGTTTATTTATTTAAGAAAACTAAATTATTATAATGATGTAGGACTTAGTGAGCCTTTGGTTAGACTGATATCCTATATTTGTCATAAGCACAGAATTGTTTTCCTTTAAGCTTGAAATCATCTGTTATATTTCCTTAGGATTGCTCCACTCCCCTCCCCCTATATTTCTTCGCCATTTTCACTGCTCATTCCCCCTCAACTTTAAATTGCCAATACTGAAAATACATTTTCTTCTATTAAAAATTATTTTACCATGTTTTTCTTTCGACAGTGTTCCAATGTTTAGAAAGTTGAAAAAATAGTATAATAAATACGAACCCTTCTGCTAGATTTGTCAATTGTTAACATTTGGCCTTTCTGTTTATATAGAGAAATGCATACACACAAAATTTTTTCTGAACCTTTTACACAGCATTGGCAGATGTCACTACCTCACCCCTGAATCCTTCAGCCTGCATCTCCTCAGAATAAGGATGTTCTCCCACAGAACCACAGTACCAAGTTTGTGCCAGTGTAAACGAACAGGAATTCAGTGGTGTGATATATAGGCCGTAGTGAAACTTCTTTAAACCAAGACTGTTTTGAAAAGCTCAAGCCCATTGTCCCGTGGAATGCCTTTCGTCCTGGATTAGTCTATCCTCTCCTGATTACCTTTGTGTTAGAAGCACTCTTTATGGCAGAATACTGCAGAGCAGTTGTTGCAAACATCTTACTGCGTACACTATGAGCGCTATAGTGTCAGGTTGTACCACTCTTCGTGAATGGATTACTCCATTGCGAGGGCTCACTTTTTCCCCTTTCCAGGGTTAGTCCTCGTCTGTGGGAGGACATTTTGAGGTGGTGTAAATACCCTTTTCCCAACAAGCTTTCTTCCAACATTTTTTAACATTTCTACGTTAATTTTTACAATGGGAGTTGCAGAGGTGATCATTTTTCTACTTAAGTGTTTCTACATTTTTTAGTTTCCCTTCTCTAAAGATGGGTGTTCCTCCCTGTACCCTCACCACCTTTTTGAATATCACGGTGGAACCAGTTACAGATTTGTAAATTTAGTGTGTTATTCATTACCATTATTCTTTTTGATGCTCACTTTGTATCAAGTTTAGAACCCTTATTATTAGAAAGTTTTTAAAGTTTTTTTTTAACTATAGTTATAAATATTAAAGAGTATATGTATTTTCCCCCTGAATTATTGACCAAGGATTTGCAGTACTCAGAGAGTTTAATAAAACATTTGAATTTCCTCAGAAGCCTCACAGAAGGAGGAGGAAGAGGACACTTTAAATGAAGAACAACTAGAAGAAGAGAAACAGTTGGAGAGAGAGAGGTCAGCGCTAATTGAAACACTAATCGAACTCAGTTATTTTACTGCAGTATTATCAGCCTTTACTCCTAACCAGTACTGGTTTTTTGTATAAAATCTTGTACAAAATAGGTCTTATGAAATATCCTGTGTAAACTATTCAAATCTAAGGTGATGGGCTAAAATTAGATATTATCTTCTTTTAAAGTGGAAGTATTTTTCATTGTTTTTGCTAATTGGTAAATCCTTTTTTAAAAAACACCAAATAATTCACAGGTGTAAAGAGTGAAAATCGTTAGAGTGAAAATTTGTATTTCTTTGTCTTAAATGTATAATTTCTGAATTAGTAAACTTGAATATCTTTATATATTTTATTGCCTATTTGTAGATTCCTTAAATCTTTCTCTTTTGGGATACTTGCTTTTTAATATGTTTTGTAAGCAATGTTATTACTTGGTTAAGGATGCAGTCCATTGTCTGTGATATGTGCGATGTACATTTTTCTCATCTGTTACCATTCTTACCTTGGCTTACGGTATTACTATGGTTTGATTTTCATGTTGTCACCTTGCGTTAGGATTGATGTCTGACGTTAAAAGGTCTCCCTTAACCCAAGATGATGAAAATATTCTTTCTCTTAATATTTTTCGGAGAGTAGTTTGTTTTGTTTTAATGTGGCACACACTAATGTGTATGTATTTAATGCCACTCAACTGTACACTTAAAATGGTCACAATGCTAAATTTTAGGTATATATATTTTAGCACAATAAAAAATAAAAATTTTTTTAAAAGGACAAAAAACTTTAATGGTATTCTCTAGCTGTTTAGCATGATCACTGGAAATGTTGCTGCTTTTCTTGTAATTGGTTCGTGTTATCTACCTAAGGATCTAAAAAAGTGGAATTATCAAAGTGCCTCCCTCCCACCAAAAAAAGAGTAGCAGTGATTAAGAATGTGGAGTTGGGTTCAGCCAGATCTGAGTTCCAGTCCTGACCTCTGCTATTTACTAGCAGTGTTCACATTTTTTTATTTCTCTAATCTCCAATTTCCTTGTCTATAATAAGGAGATAAAATCAGTCATACTATTTACCTCATAGAATTGTGAAGATTAAATGAGGTGATACATGTGTAGTGCTTGACAAGTATTAGGGGATGCTGTAATGATTGGCTTTTATTATAGATTTCTGTTATGAAGACAATATATATATAGTATGAAATAGGAAAGTAAGTTTTGTTTTCCTGTTTACTTTTAAAATGCATCTTATAAATTACATGTACCTTGTGTTCCTTTGATCTTTGTTTATTTCTATATAAGTTGCATACTACTTGAATTAATGTTGAAAAAACAGGAAACTTATGTGAAAATATTATATGGCTTTATGTCCTGTTTTAAAGCAGATGTATAGTATATTCAAGCTATTAAATTGTAAAGTTTTTAACATTTTACTTTTCTGTGGTCTTAAATTTATACACTATCTGGTTCAGTTATATACAATTAATATGTTCCTCAAAAGATTCATAAATCAGACTTCTGCACACTGAAACATCTATATGGTTCTCTACAGCATGCATAAGCATGTTGATATATGCAATACCCTGGCTTTTACCATAGCTAAAAGATGTGTTCTGGAATTGGTGGTTGAAAATGGTATGTATTTTCCCATGGAATATTTAAGTTATGGTTAAGTCTGAACATGTGGTTTCGGTTGAACATACAACCTTATTTAATTCCTAATGTTGCTGAAGAATACAGAACAGTTTCTCATATTTCATTTCCCTTTTACAAAATAAGTGGGAAAATAGAACCAAGGTTTTAAACACCTAATTGGCAAATAAACTTTGGAAACATAAACCCTATTTAAGTTAAAAACTTGTGATACTGGATGTTTGAGAATCTTACTGATTTTAGGTAACATTACTTCTTATAATTGGTCATTAAAAGAAACTAAGCTGGGCATGGTGGCACATGCCTGTAATCCCAGCACTCAGGAGGCTGAGGCAGGAGGATTGCCATGAGTTCAAGGGTAGCCTAAGCTGTGTAGTGAGTTCAAGACCAGCCTGAACTACATTGTAAGACCCTGTCTTGACAAAAAAATGAACAAAACCAGAACAATTGCTAGTTTATTTTATTTTTTTTAATTGGTGCCGGGAATCGAACTCGGGACCTTGCGCTTACGAGGCAGGCGCTTGTGCTGCTGAGCTATATCCCCGGCCCCTTGCTAGCTTATTTTTGTAACTGCTTTTCATCTTTTAGAAAATAAATATAGGCTTCTTTATTTTGAAGTTATGTTCACAATGTAGTCCCCCCCAGTAGTTCAGATATTTGAAGATAATCATAAAACTCTCTCAGTTGTATGAGGCAGTAGTCCAAAGGTTTATGGTAAAAGGTACCAAGTACTCATATTGCTGCAGTTGTGGAATTACATGTGAGGAAATGCTACAGTGAAACCCATTAATCTGTACAGTTAATATGTATTAATAATTATAATAGAAAAAGAAACGCATAGAATATGAAGAATGTGAAAAGCTAAATGTCGCTTTGAAACTTGTTACCCACCTATTAGGACCTAGTCATCACTGTGATCAGCCTAAAGGTAAAATCCTAATGTTATCTTTTCATATAAAAGATGTCACAGCTACTCAACACTGAGGGAAGCTGAGGCAGAACAACCTTAAGTCCGAGCCCATCCTTAACTAGCAGTTTAGCTAGACCTTGTTTCAAAATAAAAAGGGTCAGGGTATGTAACTCATTGTGAAGGCCCTAGGTTCCATCCCCAGTAGTGAGACAAAAAAGATGTCACAAGGGGCTGGGGATTTAGCTCAGTGGCAAAGCGCCTGCCTGGCAAGCGCAAGGTTGTGAGTTCGGTTCCCGGTACCGGAGGAAAAAAAAAAAAAAAGATGTCACAGCCATTTGCCTGTGAAGTATAGACATGGTAATTGCAACTTAATACTCTGTGGGGAGATAAGTCTGACAGTGCTTTTTAAAAAGCTCTACTTACATCTTCTGGTTCTCTTACCTCTACTTGACTGCTTTCGTAATACTTCATAATAATATTCCTTCCCCCAAACATGTCATTTTTGTTTTTATTTGCTATTGCGTGTATGTATTTGTAGATTAATTCCCATTTCTTTTATTGATTACATCATTATATTAATAGGCAAAAATTACATGAGGAGTGGTTGCTGAGGGAACAGAAGGCACAAGAAGAATTCAGGATAAAGAAGGAAAGGGAAGAGGCGGCTAGAAAACGACAGGAAGAGCAAGAGGTACCGTATGAATCCAATAACTCAGTAACAACCACAGTAACTTTCATTAAGAGTTACAGATCTTTAACGTAACTGATGTTATCCATTTTACCAGTAGTTTGAAAGTGTTTGTTTACTTGCTCTGTATGTTAAACATGTTTAAAAAGTGAGCCTAAAAGTAAATGACCTTCTTGTCTTTTTTTCCTTTAAAGAGAAAGTTAAAGGCAGAATGGGAAGAACAGCAGAGAAAAGAGAAGGAGGAGGAGGAGCAGAAGCTGCAGGAGAAGAGAGAAAGAGAGGTGATTGCTGTTGTAGAAGGACGGACACGCTGTGTCTTCTTAGTGTGCACATGGGCCGTGTGATGGGTTGGAAAAATAAGCTGTGGGCACGTTGCACTTTGGTTTTTGTTTTCTTTTTTGTGGTCATATCTTTTTGTTTGTTTGGAAGGGGTCTTATGTTTAGTCTACAGATACACCAGGGTTTCCTTATGATTCTTCATTGGGTCTGTGGAGAGGCAGATTCCTTAAATTAAGGTTTTCTTCAGCTTTACCCAATCCCATTATATCAGGGATTAGCAGACTTTTCCTTTAAAGGGCCACATAGTAAATGGTTTAGGCTTTGATGCTTGTAAGGTCTCTGTAGCAAAGATCCAGCTCAGCCAGGGTACTCTGAAAGCCCCCGAAGATAATATGTAAATGCATGGATGTGGCTGGGTTCCAATAAAACATCTCTGCAACACGGCCAGCTGGCCCCTGCTTTACACTCTGTACCACTGTATAGCAAGTGGTATTTTTCTGTGCTTCTGTTGTATATATGTTGGCTTCTTTAGAGACTAATATTGTGTATAGTTTCCACATTTATTTCGGTCATAGGAGGTTTAATAGTTTATGACATATCAGTAAGAATTATTTGATTTAAAGAAATCAGGAATTCAGATATTGAGGAGTTAAGAAATTTTTTTTGTTCCTATTATTAATCTTGACTTCTAGCGTGAGTTGTAAAGGCAATTGTAGCTAACACATAGTTGGTCATTTAAAAAATCTATAATGTATATATGTCTTATATATCTTGTAGGATTCCTTTTTGAAAGATTATTTTGCTGCTGTTCCTTAACAGTGTATTTCAAAGATAACATAGCTCATCTTTCTCTAACTGATTCATCAGGATGTATTTTTTAGAATATTGCTAAATTTGAATAGCGCACCGTTGGGCAGTCACCTTGTAGTGAGGAAAGACGGGTTTGTTTGCATCCTAGGCGTGGTGGGGTGGAAGCAGCCTCCACAGCCTTTTTTTGTGTTTCAGGCATCAGTTCCAGCGCACATTTTTGACACTCTTATTTGACCGCTGCTTTCCAGATGGGGCAACATCATTTTAGGTTTTTAGGAGGCACAAAAATTGTTTGGAGCTTGTCATATTTTATAGAGAGGAATCAATTCTTTTTTACAGTAGAATATTCTTTAACTGAAGCCTTTCAGGGATCAGGTAAAAGCTAAGGCTTACTTTATTCTATTTTATTTATTTAGTTTAGTGTTTCTGGTTGTTTTTTTTTTTTTTTTTTGAAATAGGGTCTTGCTACATAGTTCAGGCTGGTTTTGAACCCACCATGTAGCCCAGGCTGGCCTTGAACTCACAGTGATCCTCCTGTCTCAGCCTCCCAAGTGCTGGAATTATAGGCATGCGCCACCACACCTAGCTATTTATTTAGTTTTGAGACAGAGTCTCACTGTGTAGTTCGGGCTGGCCTTGAACTTATTATGAAGCCCAGGGTGGCCTCAAACACATAGCAATTCTTCAGCCTCAGCCTCTCCAATGCTGGGATTTGCAAGCATCCACCACCACACCTAGCTTTCAGGCTTCTTTTAAATGCATTTGTTTCAAAGGAAGTCTGGTGAGATATTAAGATGACGTGGGTAAAATGAAGTAGATTCTAATTATGTATAAAGGAATATACAATGTGTGTTTCTGTTGTGTGCTTGCTATGTGTCTGATGGACAGAGATAGAGCGGTAAGAAGCACATCCCTGCTCTCCTTGAGTACTTTTCTAGATGGGGGAGTCAGATGATGAGTAAACAAAGCAGATAATTCAAAACACAGTGAAATAGTGTTAAATAGTATAAAGAAATAAAGCAAAGAGTGATGTGATGGAGTGATGAGGATAGAGGAGTACTTAGATTGCCTGGTCAAAGAAATCTCCCAGGACGCGATAGTGCCAAGAAGTGAGATTTGAGTCTTTTGTATTTGAACCCACACCTGAGCATGGAGATCTTGGGAGATAGTGACCTGGAAGTGGAAAGAAGACCAGGGTGCCTGAAACCAAGAGACCAAAGGAAAGTAGGGCAGGGCACGGGAAGAGTTCAGGAGGGTAGGAAGGCTCAGATCAGGCGGGTCCTCTTGGATTCGAAGGAGGAGTTTGAATTTTATGGTAAATGTAATGGGAAGGCATTGATTGACATGTTTTTAAGCTGGGAGAGACTTCATCCCAATCATACTGTGATCTTCAACAGATCATTCTAACTTTTGTACAAAGAATGGGGAATGGTGACCAAGCTGCTAAGAGGGAAATAGATAATGGTTTTTTGGATGGGGGTAGTGCTTTAAAATGAGAACTACAAGGATTTGAGCTGTGTTGGAGGCAGAGTTAACAGGACTGTAGTTGGTGGGTTGAATGAGAGGGAGGAGGAGGAAAGCTAGAGGAGTTTGAGTCACATTTTTAGGTTTTTTGGAATAGGTGGGCAGATGGCAGAACTATTTATTGAGAGAAGCATGTAAGTGGGCTGTGGGGATGGGTCATAGAGGAGAACAGGAGCTCTGTTTGGGGACTAGGGGTACAGCATAGTGGAATAGTGCATGCTTAGCATGGGTAAGACCCTGGGCTTGATCCCCAGCACCAAAGAAATTTTTAAAAAAACCTCTGTTTTGAGTATGTTAAATTATCATGAACTCTTATGTGACCAGGTAGCGTTATCAAGTAAGTAGCTAGACACAAGTCTAATGTATAGATATTCCTCATTTAGTGTTGATGTCATGGCCCTGTGACCAGGTTGTTAAGTTAACTGGTCGCTAAATGAGGAATTGCGTATAATATATACATTATGATATTCAGAACAAAGAAATGGTCAAAGGAAACTCCAACTTGATGACTTTGCTTGTATTTGTGTAACTTTTATGTGCAGTAATTAATGTATAACAACATAAAACTACAGTACTGTACAGTACAATCAGCAAAAACTACAGTCTGTAAACAAGGTATACTGTAGAAAAAAAGATATTGGGGCTGTATAAATAAGATGTATAGAACCGTACAAAAAAAGACAAGTCATAAGTTCTCACAGTGTGCCTTGATCATAAGTCTGAACAGTCATTAAACAAGGAATATCTGTATTACTTTAAGGAGCTAGAAAAGAGGAGTCTGTGGAACATAATTTTAAACTACTTATATACCAATTAGGTAGAAATTTGCTGGCACACTGCAAGATTTCCTTTGCATTACTGAAAACTTTGAAATTTTTCATATACGTATCTTAATGACTATTGGTCATGTATTTTGGCTTCTGTTAAACATTTATGATGTTCTACCCAGCATTATATTTTATAACTACAAGGATTTGAGTCATTAATACCTTATGTTAAAAACTATAATGTATATGTGTACTCAAATATACTAAGCATTACTGTTATTAAAACCATCATGAGATTATTTTAAATATTTTGCAGTGTGATATGCAATTTTCTATTGATAGAAAAATTCTAAGCTATAAATCCTTTGAAAATTTTTCAGATGATGCTTAGAATGAAACTCAGAACCTGAAGTCATGCGTGTGTGTGTGTGTGTGTGTGTGTGTGTATAAAACATTGTTATACATGAGATTCCTAACCAGAGAAACCGGATGTGACTTAACCTGACTTTCAGGCTTTCATTAGTTCTATGTTTGCACCATTTGTAGGAAGCGGTACAGAAGCTGCTGGATCAGGCTGAAAATGAGGTACTTTAAAAACCTTTCATTGAGACTTTAAGACCAATTAATATTTTATTAGAAACAGTAGTTCCAGTAATGTTAGATTTTTGGTGGATATAGGCTATTTAGATCATATCTGGATATGTGCAACCACTCTTGTGGCTCTTGGGTTTATATGGTGACAAACATTTATTGATCAGCAAAGACAAGTCCTTAAAGTATACGTCAGCAGCATCACATCCTGTCAGCCCCAAGTGGTCAGTCTACGTTGACTCAGAGTAACTTCTGCTTCTCTCGGTGTTTGCTAAGTCTTCAAACCCTTTTCAGAACGGATGGACAGAAGGGAAGTCTTGGTGACTGCCCCTCCTAGCAGTATTGATGCCTGGTCAAAGAAAGTAACTGGGTGCCAAGAAAGTATCTCTGGACAGTGTTATATCTTAAATGTGAATGTTCTCAAACGAAGCCATTTTTAAAATTTTTGGTAAAAATATTTGAATATTTTTGGAAATATGTAGTATTTCATGGATTTTTATACTACCATAAAGTCCTTGTTATTTTCAGCAGTTGGAAAATGGTGCCACCTGGCAGAACCCAGAACCACCCATGGATTTAAGAGTAATGGAGAAAGATCGAGCCAATTGTCCATTCTACAGTAAAACGGGAGCTTGCCGATTTGGAGATAGGTAACTAATTTTGCTTTATCATGTCAGAATGAAATGATTCCAAATGGTGAGGTTTTGAGTTCTCCGAAATGTTCATCATCGGGCATCTGCAGCTTTCTTGCTGCTTCTCTGTCCCCTCCAGCTCTGTTCCCTAGGTGATAGGGTTAGCTGAGCGTGTCCTTTGCGATCCATACCCTTAGAAAGACCTTTTGCATGTTGTTTGTTTCCTGTGCTTGCGTAAGTCCACAGTGAGCAACTGCAATGGAGAGATACACTATATTTGAAGTGATTGGTGCAGCCAGACTGTTATTGTTTGAATGGCAAACACCGTATTCCGGAATAGGCTTTTCAAGCTTGGCATGTGTAACGGGATAACATCTGTGAAAGACAGGATCAGAATAAGTAGAACAGATTTTTAAGTCAGCACTGTCAGTGAGTATGCTCAGACTCAGGAATAGGCCCGTGCCCTGGCTTCAGTGGCTTCTTCTCTCTTCCAAAGGGCTGGCCCATGGCAAGCGCAGACTGTTCGCCGATATTTTCACAATTATTACTGTTCACTGGATTCTGTGAGACAGTCTTACTTGCGCCTCTTTCGGATCAGTGTTTTTGAAGCATGACATTCATGTGGAAACTGTTTATCTCTCGTCAATTATGAACTATCTGGCTGCCTACTACATGCCAAGTGTAGTTATCTTATAATTTGGCTTATTTATGAATGGGCAAGTCAAAGTAGATAAATAATTCCTAATCTATCTGAAGCAAAATCTAATTATTATTATTAGATATTTATTCCATGGAAGAGAAGATCCAATCCTAATGTTAATGTTTTATTAATCCTTAAAATGGATATGAACAGGAAAATTCATATACATTTAATGAGAGATTGCATGTCATCTCTCAGGTGTATTTTATTCATAAAATTACCCATGCCATGAAGGTTCTTTTTCTTTTGAAAGTATGAACTTTCTCTTTTATTTAAAATTTCACATCATTTTTTTTCATTTGTTTCATTTCATTCATAGGCATATGAAATTTCGCCATCACAGTTATCAAAGTATGAGAGTGATTCAGGTATTTTCATCGTTCAAGTGATGAACTGTGACATAAAATTGTGTGACATTGCTAGTTATGAAACCCAGCACCGTCCCTTCAGACAGGTACACTGTTCTGCTCCCTTTTACTGAGAGCCTCAGTGACTTGCTTCAGGTGACACAGCTGTTCTTTTTTGTTAAGGTTGCTCAGATCATTTTAGAAATATTTCTTTAACCTAAGCATCTCTTTGGTTGTTTTGTAATTAGTGCAGAATCCAATTCTAGGACCATTCTAGAATTGATATTTTTGGGGGTCATAGCTTTGAGTTGAGTTCTATTTTTTTTCCTTTAACAAAACATAATCACTGAGGAAATGTAAAACTTCTTTTTCCAAGTATTTATTCATATGTCACATGATTCCAGAAGTGATTTAAAGAAGGCTTGCAATCTACTGTATTAAGTTAAATAAAATAAAGGAAATTGAAAGCAAGGAAAGGAGGAGAAAACGAGTATTGTAAATGTGCAGTGTTTCTGACTTGATTGTAATGCATCCTAGGCAGATAATAAGCCATATGATTCTTACCAAAGAGAAACAGTGAGTGGGATCTTTGGAAAGCCAAAGATTTTCTTGACACCAGATTTTAAATGTATTTCCCATGGAATCTTGGATAAAGACATTGAATAGCAAGGTAGACAGTCACTTGAGTGGATGTTCTGTAATGGTTGATTGGCCTAATTTTCATGAGACTGTTTCTTATGCTGACCTTTGATAAGTGATCGTAGCCTGGCTTTAGTGCTCCAGTGCAGTGATTCCATGAAGGACAAAGGCAGTGAGTGCCGGACATTCTCCTCGAGAGGAAGACTCAGCTGTGCCGGAGAGGCCTTTAGGATAGCCACACCATTCATTTACTAGCGTCCTTGGGCTAGGTAATATTCAACTGTGTCTTTTTGTGGCAGTCTGATGTGATTCACGAATCAGAGTAATGGGCGTACAGCATGCCCTAAAACACTGGTTTCCAAACGTGATTGATCCCAGGGACCATTTTCAAAGTTACTTTGAAAGTGCAGGTTCCCTAGCCCTTGAGGACTGATCACATGGCCTGGAGTTGGACTGAAGAAGCCTCCTTTTACCCTGGGTAGTTCAGAGAATGACACAGGCTTGGTGCCACAGCTTTAAACTCCCCACTTGCTAACTTCTCTTAGCTGAGTTCTCAGTAAGTGGTGCAGGGCTGGCCTTTTGAATACACAGATTTTTAAGGACTGTCTCCAGGCCAAGTGGGGATTTTCCTTAGGCAGGGATTTTGACTCTGTCCTAAAACTGACGAACGCTCAGTGGGTGTCCTGGGAATCAGAGCCAAGTGCATTCAGAGCTAAGAACTCTGTGAGCAGAATTTCAGCCTCACTATATCGGTTCCTTGTTCAATGCTATATGTGTTTCACACTTGTAAAATTTGGATTCATTGCTAGCATTACTAACCAGGCTGAATCCGTACACGGTTCTGTCAGTAGCAGTACTTGTAAAAGATGGATCTAATTATCAGGTTTCTGTTTTTTCCCCCTCAGGTTTCTAATTGAATAATTAGGGGGTAATTTGGAAAATAGGGAATTTCACATTAATGAGCATTGGTTAAACATTGCTAGGCATGGTGTGTGCTGGGCATTCTGTATAGGTGTATAGATTTGTATTACAGACATGGGAAGTGATTAAACATTTAGTCATTTCAGGGCCATTGTTTCTTCTGATGCTTGCCTGTTCTCAACCTTTCTTCCTCAGTTCTTTTTCTTCTAAATTTTTTTTGTACTAGGGATTGAACCTAGGGCCTTTGAACTGAGCTACATCTCCAACCCTTTTTAAAATATTTTATTTTGAGACAGGCTCTCTCTATGCTGCACAGGTGAGAATTGAACTTGCAATCCTCCTGTCTTGGCTTTCACAGTGC